GGAGGCCAAGAAGGAGGTCGTCCCCGTCGAGGAGGGTACCCTTGAGCACAAGGGCCTCAACTTCCCCAAGTAAGCCCATCTAAATCCCCCAGACTCGATCTCAAAAACTTACACGTGCCTCCTAGGAACTTCATCTACTCCAAGGAGTTCTTCTGGTTCGGATCTGACGCCGTCGAGTCTAAGAACCTGTCTTCTTACCTGAAGACCGAGAAGTCTGCCGAGACTGCTCACCGCAACGCCGCCTGGGCCTCTCACACCGGCAAGGGTCTTCTTTTCTTCGGTGACAAGACCGCCCCCCAGGGTGTCATCAACCTGGTATGAATACAACGCCTCTTCGCGAGTGATGAACAATCAAGCTAACAATCTCCCAGGCAGATGCCGCCGAGCCTGCTGCCGATGGCGCCAACAAGTTCCACTTCACCGCCAAGGGCCACAAGCACGTTTTCAAGGCCGCCAACGCTGAGGAGCGCGACAACTGGATCTCCCAGCTGAAGGTCAAGATCACTGAGGCCAAGGAGCTTGCCTCCACCGTCACCGAGACTGAGGCTTACAAGACTGCTCTCGAGAGCTTTAAGCCCGCCAAGAAGGAAGAGAAGAAGGAGGAGAAGGCCGCCGAAGCCCCTGCTGCTGACGCCGCTGTCGCCACTGAGACCCCCGCTGCTGAGGCTGCTGCTCCCGCTGCCACCGAGGAGGCTGCCAAGGAGACCCCTGCCGTTGAGGAGCCCAAGAAGGAGGAGCCTAAGCGTCGCTCCGCTAGCCGCAAGCGCGCCTCCATCTTCGGCAGCCTGCTGAGCAAGAAGGAAGAGTCTAAGAAGGAGGAGAAGAAGGAGGCGGAGGAGACCGCTACCACCGAGACTCCCGCCGCTGAGGCTGCTGCCCCTGTTGAGGCCGCTGCTGCTACTGAGACTCCTGCTGTCGAGACTCCTGCTACTCCCGCCGCTGAGACCCCCGCTGCCACTGAGGCTGCTGTTGAGGACAAGCCCGCTGAGACCCCCAAGGAGGAAAAGAAGCCTGCTCCCCCTACCAAGCGCAACTCCATCTTCGGTGTCTTCGGCAAGAAGGAGAAGAAGGCTCAGGCCGCTGCTGAGGCTGAGGCTCCCGCTACCCCCGCTAAGGAGGGTGAGGTCACCCCCGCTGCTGAGACCGCCCCTGTCATTCCTCCTGTTGAGGCTACCACTCCCCTCGCCGTCGACGTCTCCAACCCCAGCACCGTCCCCGTTGAGACCAAGGAGACCACTCCCGCTACCAACGGCGAGACTCGCCCCGAGCTGAAGGCCGAGAAGCGCAAGTCTTCCCTCCCTTTCGGCTTCGGCAAGCGTGACAAGTCTCCCGCTGCCAAGTCCCCTGCCCACTCTGACAACGAGGAGGGTGAGAAGACCGAGAAGACCAGCGCCTTCTCCAAGCTCCGTGCCACCATCAAGGGCCGTGGCAAGACTGCCGACAAGCCCGCTGACAAGCTCGAGAAGACTGAGGAGAAGCCCGAGGAGCCCGCTGCTGAGGCTGCCAAGACTGAGGAGACTCCCGCCGCCGAGACCTCCAAGGCCACCGACGAGCCTGAGAACAAGCCCGAGAACGTTGCTTCTTCCACTCCCGCCCCTGTCACCGCCGCCGCATAGAGTGCTACAACGAGTTCGAAGGAGCTTCCCCGCAAGTGGAGGTTTGAGTACAGCTCTGAATGACCAAAAAATGAAACAAAAACCACATCCAAAAATTGCACGCATCGGATCGAAATCGGAGGAAGAGCAACATCACGTGATAACTCATTTCACTTGGATGGGTTTGTTCGGGAATCGGATCTGCATTTCAAGATACCCCGTCAAGACTGGTTCTACCTGATACCCTTTCCTATTTCCCTCTTTACAGCACACGCATCAGAAGGCGAAATTCGGCGGGAGGTGATTCCGTTCCACATTCAGTCTTTTCGAATCATTTCCTGTCTGTTTGGCTTTGCTTTATTTTGTTTGTTTTTACCAGTATCGTGCTTTGATGCTTTGATACCCAGTTATACCCGTCGCTCCAGACAAGAACACGAAAAAGAAAATATCCACGACAAAAAAAACGAAGAAGCCTTAGGTCGACAGGATGGACGGACCTTATTGCGTTGGTTCTACTCTCGGGCTGGGGTTAGGAATCGTCAGACTCGAGTTTGGAGATGCTGTTGGTGGAAAAAGATTGCATGGAACCGTCTGTGCCATGCCACTAGGGCTGGTATCAAATTGTTCGCATTCACTTAATACTTAATAGAAGTTCGTTGCGTCTGCATTCTGTCTGTCAGTGTAATGTGCCTCGTGACTGAATGTAGTGAGTCAGTTCCTGGTGCTCGGGGCTCCTGCGCTCAAGCGTACTTCCGTCTCGATCTCGTACGCGTCTTTGACGTTTTGACATATGCAAACGGTCATGTCGTCGATCCTCGGCGCGCATGTCTAAGCACCCGCATCCCCTCCCAACCTGAGATCTCGAGGTCCAGAAGATCAATAAGCGTGAAACGAATGCTACGCTACGTTTGACACGATGGTGATCTCACAACAGGTCCAACAATAACACATTTCCATCTGCCGCATTGCCTTGGATGTCGCCTTCGCAGTTTGGGATGTGCTTCAGGAGACTTTCTGGACGGCAAGGCAGATTTTCTGTCATGGAAGGATTGTAGAATTTGAAGGTTTCGATTACAGGATGCTGACTGCGGCGTGCATACTGCACGGCACGGTGATTACGTACGATATATCTGCGTCTGACTTACACAGTATGCGTGCGTGCAGGAAGATCAGACCTTGCCCTGTCTGTGGTTTGCGGCGTTCGGGGTTTAGATCTCTCTTTTGCGTCACTCGCGTTCGTATTATCATCCCCTCCTCCTTTCTGCAAAGCTGAAGAGGTGAGGCGAAAGGGACGGGTTTTGCGCCTGCAGGTTGAGTACGGTGGGTGGTCACGAGACGGGGCGATTTTTGGGTGTTTGAAGTTGTATGCAACCCAGCGTTTGGGAGACGGTCATGCTCCCCGATAGAAGGTGTTTCCATTTTCGGATGAGAGCGAAGGAGTTTGCAGATCAACACGAGCGGTTGATGGAGGTTGTATTCTATAATTGCTCCCAAGGCGATGGTGATACGTCGAGGGGAGGCGAGCGGTGTTGTGTTGGGCAGGGATGTCGAGGGACGAAGCATGGAAAATCGCGACCCCTCAAGGACAGAGCTTCAATGGGAAATCTTTTTGAAATGGGTAGTCGGGAGGACGGACGAACGGTGGGTTGGTGCTTTTCCCACTTCCCACGCAAGAAGACACTTCGGACTTTTCACCCCCTTCTTTTGGAAACGGTGGTGTGTTTGCGGCAGAGATGGTCTCGTGAGTTTTGGAGCGGGGAGGGTTGGGGTTCGTCACTAGGCCTCTGCGTTCGGTGGTACAACGCGAGATGGGTTTGGTACTTTGAGGTGAGGTACTCTTCCTGCTCGAGGGACTTTGCTTTACTGGTCTTTATGTGCTTGGGCAGCAAGCTGGGAAGGAGCTGAAGGGAAGTTGGGACCTATGGATGAACCGAGTTCAACTGGACTTTTTTTGCTGAGGAGGAGGTGGATGGGCACGGTCGTTGATTAGCACGTGTGATGTTCATGTTGTGAAATGGGTTTGCGCTGTTGTGATGGCAGAGTTTAGGGATGATGAAGCTTGGAGTGATCATGATGTCTTCTCAGAGCCCCTGCTGTACGGTTATCGGTAGGCTTTGGGGTGCATTCTTCACCAACAATTCCGAACAGACTTCTCGGACGTCGTTTTCTCTCGAACAAGCGGGTCGTAGTCGACTACAGTCGGAAATTTTCTGTCAAAGCGGAACTGCTTTTCCTCTAACCTCCCAGACCCATGTGGGGTTTCCGTTATCAAGCAATCAAGAAAGCGTAGTGTCTAGAACCTCGAAAGTGGAGAGGGTCTTTTCGTGGGTAAGAAAAAAAGCCACTTTACCATGCAGTAGTCCTGTGGGTTTGTCATTGGGCTCTGTATTAAGGCTCGGTGGGGATTGTTGATCGTGTGTTTCCGTGGTGGAGGTGAGCGTGACGTGTTGATGGCGGGGAGCGGGAGAAGGTCCGACTTGCAGATTTGATGAGTGGCAGAGAGTCTTAGAGTTGGGATGGGAAGTCTTCGTAGTTCTTCGTAGTAATTTTTCTACTGTGTGCGATTGTCATATATGGGATGTCTGAGGACGTGGCCCACATGAATGATCTTGCCCCCAGCATCATCGTGAAGCGGATTACGAACATGCCCCAAATCGATAGTGCGTTGTACTCATATCTCGGCGGTATCGCATCATAATTCCCGAGCCTAGTTGATGGCTGCTTTATCTTCTTGCCTTGAGGCTACCCCGATATTGTTACGTTGATGAGCCCGAAGAATGCCAAAGCCACGATCCTGGGGATGCATGCCACCAATAGAGCCGGTTCTGGATCGGACCGTCGGATGTATGCTTAAAGGCAATCCAGTCCGTTACTTGATACGTCGCCACCATGTCCAGATAACAACATCAATGGTCTACGGAACTATCGCTGCGCCCGCTTGCTGATTTGACCGAAAATAACCTCTCAATTTTCATGGCGATTCCAAGAATCTCTGCGACTCCGCATTCGTGTAAGTCGACGTTAGAAAGGGGCTATCATGGAGACGGGCCAACATGGGCATCTCGACGTACCAGGAACCGCTCAGCACAGTTGTCCTGCCGAATGGAGCTTCCTGTCAATATTTCTTCGCCGTCATCGTCATGAATAACACTTCAAGATCTCCATGTACAGTATGCTTATCGAGCCGAGTCAAAATACGCCCTCAAGCCACTGACCCGTCCATTCCGGCACACCATGATAAGCTTCAGGTCATGCCGCGCGGAGGAGAGCCCAAAAGGGTTGCTATACTTCAATAATATACAAACCAATCGCGTGCCCTCTTTCCTTCGGAGACAGTAAATAGCCCCCTAATGTCTGTGAAATCGTTTGAAACTCCATGAAAAGAAGCGGGCAACAACGATCGTGATGCGGATCTACGGCCAACGCCCCGTCGGATGGAGAATCAACACCCTCATCTGCGCCATCCTGGTGTGGTTGATGACGGTGCTGCTGTGGGTGCTCCTCCTGACGTCCTTCTCCAAGAACCACGACCTCTCGGACATGCCGCCCTTCTACGCCGCCGACTGTCACGACACACGCAGGGTCATGGTTGTTGTCCGCCTCCTCGTCGGCGCCCTCTCGACGCTGGTCATCGTGTCATCGTACATCTTTATGCAGCTGTTGGTCAGCCCGACACGGGAAGACGTGGACAGGGCCCACGCCCAGCGCAGGTGGATGGACATCGGCTGCATGTCCGTCAAAAACCTGCGCTTCATCTCCAACGGGCGGAGGGTCCTGTTCGTCCTCTTCGGGCTGATATGGATCCCTTTTCACCTGCTGGCCCCGGCTTCCGTCGCCGAGACGGCGCGGACGACGCCGTGGGTGACGGTCCTTGCGACGGAGTCCTTCCTGTCAGGGGGGAAGTACCACCTGCCCGGCCTCGGATTGGGAGCGTACCTGCAAGACACGCCTGGTTTCTATTCAAACGACCTCAACATGTCTGTTCCGGAAGCGGTGGAGTACATTGCTGCCCACGCGACCGGGTGGGAGCGTCTCAGCGGCAGGGAATGCTTGCAGAAGTACGAATATTGGGTCAACGTCGATAAGAGACGGCACGTGGTGGCCGTCATGTCTACGGATGATTGGGACGGCGAATTCCTTGACAGCCTCTCCAGTGTCTGGTACGCCGGCATCTGTGGCTTTGAGGCAAACAAGCAGGATCTGCCGTGCGGCGGTCTCACCCTCGGCCTGAACGTAACCTCAGATAGCGTTAACGGGACGTACGAGGGTGTCTCCATCGTCTCGGACAACAGGCCGAGAGTGCCCACCAGAGGAGCATCGAGCAAGGCCGAGATCGACGGGATGGTGGACGAGCACGACAACTGGATCATCCCATGGCACGCAAAGGACAACCTCCACAACACCCCGGTGCTGAGGAAGAACCTGACCGTCAAGTACTGCCTCTCGGAGCCGTTCCCGACTCACTGCAAAGCCCGCGTCAGCAACACGCTGTTCCTCGCCATCTGCCTCCTCGCCGTCGCCGTGAGCACCTTGTGCGCGGTTGCCTTGCGTATTCTCTGGGGCCAGGACCGCCTGGTTGCCGTCGGCGACGCCGTGGACTCCTTTATACGACGCCCGGATATGACGACGAGGGACATGTGCACGCTGGGCTGGCGCGACTTCTCTTCGACCACCATCGAGCGACTGCAGAAGCCGAAGATGGAGGGCTGGGTCCACAGCCAACGACAATACGTACGGCGACGAGGACGCTGGGGAGATTCCGTTCACGTCTCTGACTGGGTGAAGTTGCTGTTGCCCGGTGGCGTGGGCTTCATCATCTGTCTTTTGTCCTTGATTTCCTTCGTTGAGGCAGGGTGAGAGCACCTCGTGTGCCATTCTAAACAGCTTTGCTAACAGGCGGCTACCAGGGGCGGATGGCAGAAGGCGCTTTCTGCGAGCATTTTCGGGCAGAATTCCAGCAACCCCATCCTCATGATGAAGTATCCGTCCGAGAGTTTGCGTGCCTTCATGGTCATGCTGGCTTCCAGGCCTATCGGGGCCTCGTTGGTCGCCACCATGCCACAGCTTCTCCTGGCCATCCTGCCCCTGATCTTGCACCACACGTACACGCGCATGTTCATCGCCAGGACATGGTCTTCCTACGCCACGAGATTCAAGACATTGCGTGTCAACGAGCGCAGGGGTCAGCAGAGAGAAAATCATTTCTTCGAAATTCCCTCCAAGTATTTCCTCAGCTTTGTAACCATCGGGACGTTGACCCGCTGGCTGTGCTCGAATGCAATCTACGTCATACATGTCGAGTGTAAGTCAACCCAACCAAACCCCCCATGATGCCACTGACCTGTTTTGAAGCATTCCATGCCGACCCGTCGACCGTTGAACCGTACCATCCGTACGTCAACGTCTTCGTCTCTCTCAAGGCGGCGCTGGGGACCATTATCACGCTCTTCTTCATCCTCGTGACTCCCATCTTCATGGCGCTCATTCCTCTGCCTGGCGAGTCTGTTCTGGTCGGAAGCTGCTCGGCGGCCATATCGGCAAGTTGTCATGTCATCGAGCCGGAACATCTGCAACGAAGGACACCAGGTGAGAAACAGCCGGAGCTTGTCCATCTGAAATCAGATACATCCATGGCCAAAGAATATGAAAAAGTCAAGGTGTCTTCAGTCGATGGCGATTATGAGAGTAGGCCCGAATATGATTGGAGAGCTGAGCTGGCGGAGGGGAGGATTCGATGGGGTGTTTTGCGGGAAGCGCGGTCAGCAACAGACCGTGGAGGTAATTTGGAGGGTTTGGCCCAGGTCCTTTCGTTCGGATCGGAGGAGACGTATCTTGGGAGTCCCAGAGAGGATGAGTTTTATGGCGGCACGAGACTTTGAGAGTCTTCATAGCGACCCTGCCCTAACATTTGGCTTATGGACTTTGGCGGATGATTGAACTGAACATTTGACTTCTTTTGTTTGGAAATATCTGACCCGTGTAAATTAAACTCCTGACCCAGGGTTGCCCGCTAGATTTTCTTTGCAATCCTTCACAATCCTTACTTTTGCAGGGGCTGGCCCATACCGCCGTACGTAACCATCTTCGTGATCTGGTACTCCGAGATGCCATACAGAGATCCCTCCCTGCCGAACCCGGACTCCTTGACACCGCCAAACGGCGCGGCGGGGTCCGAGATGAGACCCGTGTTGACGCCGACCATGCCGACCTCGAGGTGCTCCGCCACGCGGTGCACGCGCTGGATGTCGCGCGAGAAGAAGTACCCCGCCAGCCCGACGTTGGTCGCGTTGGCCAGCCTGACGACCTCCTCCTCGGTCTCGAACGCGAACAGGCCCGCGACGGGGCCGAAGGTCTCCTCCTCGGCCATGGCCATGTCCTTGGTCATGCCGGTGATGACGGTGGGCTCGTAAAAGTTGGAGCCGAGGCCGTCGAGCTTGTGGCCGCCGACGACGACCTTGCCGCCCTTCTTCTCGGCGTCGCGGATGTGCGCGTCGACCTTGTCGATGGCGCGGTCGTGGATGAGGGGCCCGTGGGTGACGCCCTTCTCGAAGCCGTTCCCGACCTTGAATTTCTCGACCTCAGCGGCGAACTTCTTGGCGAACTCGTCGTAGACGCCGCGCTGGACGTAGATGCGGTTAGCGCAGACGCAGGTCTGGCCCGAGGAGCGGAACTTGGAGGCGACAGCACCAGCCACAGCGGCGTCGACGTCGGCGTCGTCGAAGACGATGAAAGGGGCGTTACCGCCCAGCTCGAGGGACAGCTTCTTGAGGGTGCCGGAGCACTGCTTCATGAGCAGCTTGCCGACGTTCGTGGAGCCGGTGAAGGAGATCTTCTTGATAGTGGAGGAGGTGGTGAGGGCCTCGCCGACCTCGGGGGTGTTGTCGAGGGCCGTGACGACGTTGATGACGCCCTTGGGGATGCCGGCGCGGTGGCCGAGCTCAGCGAGGGCGAGGGAGGTGAAGGGGGTCTCGCCGGGGGCCTTGCAGACGACGGTGCAGCCCGAGGCGAGGGCAGGGCCGATCTTGCGGGTGATCATGGCGGCGGGGAAGTTCCATCTATAGAAGTCTTAGTATTGTGAATGAAGGGGAAGTGTTCAAGCCTGAGAGCATACGGGGTAATCAGACCGCAAACACCAACGGGCTCCTTGATGGTCCACACACGGTTTCCGGGAACAGAGGACTGGATGGTGTCGCCGTAGATACGGGGCGCCTCCTCGCTGAACCACTCGAGGAAGTTGGCGGCGTAGGTGACCTCGCCCTTGGCGTCGGCGACGGGCTTGCCGTTCTCCCAGGTGATGAGGGTGGTGAGGTCCTCGGCGTTCTCCATCATGAGATCGTACCAGCGGCGCAGCAGCTTGGAGCGCTCGCGGCCGGTCTTGGTGCGGAAGGTCTCGAACGCCGTGGAGGCCGCGGCGATGGCGGCGTCCGTGTCGGCCTTGGTGAACTCGGGACATGTTCCGATCTTCTCGCCGGTTGCCGGGTCTGCTCTGGATCAGCCTCCGGGACCGATTGCGGGGTTCATGTTCATGGTGGGATGGACGCGACAAACGTACCAGTGATTGCGAAAGTCTTGCCTGACTTGGCCTTGATCCACTCGCCGTTGACGTAGCAAATGTCCTGCTTCAGCAGCGACGGATCTTTGAGCTGCAAGTGTTCAATATCAGTTACCCGGGTCCAGGTAGGGCGGGAGCTATGTTCGTGTGGAGATGTACCTTGGGAACCATTGTTGAGGCTGCACGGAGTGAGAAGGGAATGAACGGTGTCCGGATGGATCTGAGTGAAGCTCTCGCGACGAATCTCGACGCCGGAGCGACGGCTTTGTGTAATGCGATAGGCATGGTGGAGAGCCGAGGCAGGATGGATGACGATGAAGAAGCTCTTAGCTCGCACAGTGGTTGGAGCTGCGGAGATGGGATGCGGGGAGGTTGTAGTGGTGGTGGTGGTGGTGGCCTTTGGGTGATCTGGGCGTGCTCAAACACTCCTATGCTCCCGGTGAGGCCTTTTGGGGAGGTCAATTGGGGTTTATGATGTGTTTATGATGAGTTTTTCACACTCGACAACGCTCAATGGCAGTTATCGCAAGAGTTGTAGTGTTTGAGCGATAGCGGAGAGCTGCGAGCTGCCATTCCAAGTGACGCTCGATGACGTCCACCCCACATCAACCGGCCCGGTTGTTAAGGGACCGGCAAGTTCGCGCGCTAAGATACGGTATCGCTCAGGCAGACTGCCGGGGATTGATACCCGCGGGTCGCTAACAGATAATAATTACTCAGTCCAGGACACTGATGAGGGCTCCACTGGAGCTCCAACATGCTTCATCTTTTTAACACCTCCGGACGCTGCACCGAAAGCTTCAAAATCATCTATTGACAGTCAGATTTTCATTTAACGCACCCTACACCATGGTAGCCTTTTAAGCACCATATGACATTTTTCCGGGAAAAAAAAGAAGACCCAGCTGGGTCTTTGTAAACCTTGAGCTGCTTCAATCTAGGCCGTTCGTCTCATGTTCCAAGACTTTTTGAGACAGACGCCAGCATGAGAGCTTCCCATAACCCTCTGCAGGGTCCCATTTGACATACATCTACAGCCTCACTGGCCTTGGTCTCGCCGGTCTCGCCATGTTTCTCGCCATGCTCCCAAGAAAGGGTCTCGGCCTCCCCCGCTCGGAGAAATACAAAGCACACCAGTCATCCTGAAAGCCAAGCTCTTCGTATTGCCATTCAGTGGTGATCTCGCCCCGTTTCTGACAGCCCGGCCGACCTGCATGCCGTCATGCCCACAGCACCGTTGCCCCCGCGCCTTCCCGCCAGACTGAAGATGAAAACCCGTTGCTTCCCCGCCTCCGCGTGCGAGTGTGGTACCCGATGAATGATCATGCGGGGAAGCTTATTGCTACCTTCCACCACCTCCAAGCTGAGTGTCTCTGAAACTGTTTCTTAGCTTTCGTCATGTCGGCCCGCGAGACTATAAGTGCCGTGGCCTCGGCCATGAGCGATGAGCTCTGGTGTCTCTTCGCCACATACATACCCAGCATCAACATGGTCAAAGGGCCCCGAACACTGCTTTCCGCTGCGGCCTTGGCGCCGAGAGCCTCCGGTCTCCATCCCGTCCCGGGACCTGAGAGTGCCAGTGCCGTCTTCGACGCCTTCCTAAGTTACTCGCTTGAGTTTGCCTTCTTTCCAGATTTTGCAGGTAGGCGTCAGATCATGAGGATTGTCAAGGGTAGGGCTCACCAATCTGCTAGGAAACAAGTCCTCCCCCACCACCTTCTCAGATAACTTGTTGGTGAACTTGGGCAATTTGCAGGGCACTCGACCTTACATTCGTGTTGGCGGAAACACACAAGACTACGCCCTCTACGACGAATCACTTCCATACGCCGTCAACGGAACCTATGACTTCAATCGATCCAAGGACTATCCGACCACGATCCACATAGGCCCATCATTCTTTGAATCTTACAGCACCTTCCCGGACACCAAGTTCACCCACGGCTTCAACCTCGGACTAGGCGCGAATCGCTCAGAAGGATGGGAGACTCTGATTGCCACCGTACCGCTAGCCTGTAAAGCCATAGGTGTCGACAACCTCGATGTGTGGGAGTACGGCAATGAGCCCGACCTCTTCTCTACTTCGGCCCAAGGTCCCGTTCGGCCTCCGTCGTGGAACGAATCCATTTATGTGGAGCAGTGGCTCAACGGCACCCGGGAGATCGCCTCCGTCCTGGCCGAAGCTTGCCCTGAGTTCCCGGCCCCAGTGTTCATGGCCCCTTCGAACGGAGGAACAGGAAACAGACTCCGCGCCCCGGCGCAGTGGGCTGCTGGACTGAACACAGACGACAACATCGCTCTCTTCTCGAGTCACAACTACATCAGCGGCGCCGAAAGCCCTGGGGTCACTCTGCAGGGTACCCTCATGAACCACACTCGGACTGTCCAATCTGTTCAAGCTCATGAGAGGGAGTACGCCAACATCACATCGCGCTTCGATGACGTGCCGCCGCAGATCCTGGGAGAGCACAACTCGCTCTACAACCAGGGCAAGCCGGGGCTGTCAAATTCGTTCGGTGCGGCTCTATGGGGTGTCGACTTTAACCTTTATGCTGCCACGGTTGGCATCAAACGGGTTCATTTGCACATGGGCACTGACTATCGAGTACGTATCGTTACCTAGACAAAAGAACTTTGCTGACATGAAGCAGTACGCGAGCTGGCAACCGGTCAGTACAGAGACGACATCTATCGGGACCAAGGCCCCCTATTATGGCAACGTTGCCATCGCTGCTTTCATCAACCCAGGCCTCTCCTCCGAGCCCGTCTCTGTCGCACACGTCCCATTGTCAGATGACAACGAGAGGTCCTCCGCCTACGCAGCCTTCCAAGGAAGCGATCTGACGCGTGTGCTCCTGATCAACTTGCAAGCATACAACTCCACACTCGGCGGTACCGGTACAAGCCCAGACCCTGATGCTCCAGAGCGTCCGACCTTCTCGTACGCCTTTGAGGTCCCCTGGCAAGATGGCACGGCGAAGGTTCAGCGGCTGCATGCCAATGGTAGCGACGCCGTCTCAGGCATCACGTGGGACGGCTGGAGTTACAACTACGAACTCGACGAGGGTAAACCTGTGAAGCTGGATAATGTGACCGTGGGCGAGACTGTAGAGATCAAGGATGGTCAGTTACAAGTTAAGGTAGCTGCGAGTGAAGCGGTTGTACTGAGTCCTGTAGTGGGGTGTAGCAAGTTCTTCTAGTTCAAGGGATGGATGCGGGGAGATCAAGTAGATAGATGATCTCAAAGCAGTTACCAATATCAAAGTGGTGGCCCACATGGATCACAACATTGAGCCACGGACGCTTTATTGACACAGAACAGCTAGTTTGCTCATATTCCCGGTAGTCTTGACAAAATACAGGATGAGGCCATCTCTCATCTATATTTACGTTAAAGGTTCCCATGACCTTGCTAGGTTTGCAAAGTAGGTACCGGCTAATTCTAAAGCAAAAAGTGTAGGCCAACGAAGGACTTCTGAAAGCCTGGGTGAAGTATCAATATTAGGTCTAAGAATACCTGCAAAGTCCATTCCTGGCACTTCATGACTAATGTTAGTGCCACAAACCAGGCTGGAACACTTGGGATAGTAGTAGTCAAGTTATTGACTTCGAGGGGCAACATGGGTCACAGGCGTCAAAAAACAGACACAGAATACTTGCTTATGAGTTTGACGAGGACTCAAAAGCTTTGAACGTATCCTCCTTTGTTCCACTGTTATAGCCTCACATTGGTCACTGAAGAAACCTCATCATCCATTGTTTACTACAGTAAACCGCGTAGTTCCAGAGGAGAAACCTGACCTTATCAGTAGTGTATGAGCTTTCACGTCATGACACTGTCAGGAGAGAAGCTGAAATCAGGTCATACATAGTTAACGACTACCTTCTCAAAATTTTCTTCACGTAAGTGGACTTGGGCTGCTACCTTTGAACCCGAAAGCAACCGTCTACCTGGAAGGCGGAACGGCTTGTGAAAACCGCCGCGATTGAGGAATCCATGGATCCGGCAGCTGGTAAAAGCAGTGTCTAGGATTGCTGGACCCGCTGCCACACCTGCCCTGAGCAACTGTAGGGACCAAGAATAACACGTCTTGGTTGCGAGGTCCTTTGGTCGTTCAGGAGGGCAGCCTAGGCTGTCTGCAGTCTCCCGAGATAAATTGTCCTCTTCGGTCGGGCGGTCAGAACCGTGACCGTTTCCCACCAATTTCGTCCCCCCATCATACTTGCAGGAATCCGTCTCGATTTGAGAGACCAATGACTGGACGTGCGTTGCAGATGCATGCGCAGCCACCCCGGACTGTCCACACACGTGCGGTGCCAAGAGGGAGGTTAAGGTACGACTGACGAAAGTAACGTATGGCTGCCGGGGTCTCCAAAGCCATTTGAACCTTTTAGATAAAGCAGTGATGAAATGCATCATTATAATGTCCGGTTGTATTTAAGGCCAATATGCCCAGGTTAGTGCAGCTTGACCAATTCTTTTTCCGTCAATGTTTTAGATGAGACAGTCTCAGCTACTTCTGCGTTTCTGAACATTCTACTGCACTGGACTTAAAAGTCCTGTCTCCTCTCATACTTTACGCTCTGTCTCCTCCCAAAGAAGTTGCCGTGTCATGCTCTCTCCTGAGGCATTTCTCGCCTTGTTTAGTCTACTTATCGCAGTACCCCCTGCAATCCTTGCGTACCTACAATGGCGGAATATCTTCCGGAAAAGATACAACCATCGGGAGCTTGCACGTGGGTACCCGATCTTCGTCAGGCAACGCAAATGACGGAGATCGTTGAACACTTACACGTTGAACATGTAGTCTATACCGTACACAACCCACGCCAACGACGCAACGAGGAATACCAGCTTGACATAATATCGATTCGAGCGCATGGCCGACGGCAGTTTGAATATAGCTCCTAGCATCACATCCAGGAAGCGATGACATGAAAGCCTAGACAGGAGATAGTTGAACTGTCGTGGCAGGATGAATCGACTGCCACCATGTCCGTCGCGCTCACCTGGAACGACCATACCCATCCATTATGACAGCCATCGAATCAAGCGTGCGCATCAAATCAACACACACGCATCAAGAAAGCCGCTCCATCTATCAATCATGAGATTTGACAGCCCGACAGTCCCATATGGATGATAGGACAAGATGGGCCTGCATGTACTCTAAGCAAGGAGTTCTTTGATAAAAAGGAAAGCATTGAAGGATTAAATGATAAATATTATTTTCATGATGCGAACCTATCCTGAGACCATCATCTTGTACCTGAAATTTGGAAAAGTTGAGTTATGCAGGTTTTCTTTCGTAAACAAAAACCTGAATGTAGGATAATAGGCCTTAGGTTACCTAATTGGTCTGCAGCTCAGTGCCCGACCCTCCTAGAATGAGTTTTGCTAGTCGGGCAGTATTACTTTCTTATCCGGGCAGTATCCTCTATAATCTAGAAATATAGAGAGAATTATAGTAGCTATAATAAGGATAATGCCGAAAAACGACGATAATAACGACGACGACGATAATAATAAAAATAATAGATAAAGATAATAGATATTAACGATAACGAAAGTAAGAATAGGAAATATAGTTACTTTAGAAATAGGCCACGGATTATATACGTGTGTGTAGACACTGCCCGGATAGCCAAATGACACTGCCCGACTAGCAAAGCTCCCTAGAATCTGAAAGTTGACTTTCATCTCTTTCCTCCGGGCACTCGACGTATTCCATTTGGGCGCATCTCTTCGTCACGACATACGCAATTTCTCTCCTCTCCCGTCGTTCCACATGGACAGTATTCAGAGAGGCATTGTTTGGTTACTAAGTAGGTAGGCGTCCATTGATGCTGACTTTCCATTAAGAGATTGTTCGAAGTCTTTCGCACACTCGACCATCCTTCAGCCTTGAGGACGGCTGTCGGACAACTTTCCGTGCATATTTTGCTTTTTGAGCACATTCATACACAGCTATCATGTGCAGACAAGAGCACCTTCCCGAATCCGCGAACAATAATGTCGACCTCGGACTTTGGCCAAGGTCAGCGAAGCTTATGTTTCTGCGCAATTCTCAAGCCTAGCTTTGCCTCATATGCAGCAGTCGAATATGTTTGCAACGACGACTGTGGACGAGTAGCCAGAAAGGCACGATACGCCAGTTGACCCCTTGCTGGCATTCAAGTGAGAACCATGGCCCTATGTATACTCCTAGGCCACGAAAAGCTATTTATCACAAGACGGTTATTCCTTTTGACGGGCGTAATGACTGGCCACCAATCATCTGCTCAACGGCAATCTCAGGGGTTATGTATGTATTGCGCGGCAACCGTTCATCCGGCCTCTTTATATGCGCATCTCTTTGCCTCTTCGTACACTGTCTCTGGTCACGAGATGGTTCTGTCCAAAAGCTTGGCACACGATACTTTTAGCCCTCCAGAGGAGCTCATCATTGTGCACCAGGCCGCCTTAGGGTCATCATCCGGTACCGCGGCATCGCAATTGTCATTGTCTGCAGCCCATACGGACCAAAAATCGCCACGACGGTGCAGAAAAACAGTGAATAGGCACACCCGCACCCGGCATGAAGGCCCGCTGCCTCGGACCGGAAGCATCATCATCCCACCCATCCCGACTCCCACCACCCACCCGCATTGGCCAACGGAACGCACTCCGTCAGCCGCGGCCTCGTAATCACCGCGCGCCGGAAGCAGCGACCTTTCTCACCGTCTCGTCGATGATGTCGATCTCCAGGCAGGAGAAGCATAATAGTTCATTCAAAGAAGAGGAAGTTGAGGAGCTTGAGGGTCAAAAGCAAAGGAAAACAACAAGACGCAAACCGTCTTCCTTCCTTTGTCCACCTCCGTGCGTTGGGCTTGGCGAGAAGCATCTACCGCGGCACATCCGCTCGTGGCCGCCTGACAGCTTCCCGAGAGACAAGCCACGACCTTGGGTGAAGATCGGCCAACACACGCAAGGCGCAGTGGTAAGGCGGAGGGGAGTGGGATCGGCGTCAAGAAGGGGGGTGGATGTATTGTTGATTCATCTCGGGATAAACGGGGGAGACGAGGAATGAGGCCTCCTCGTGATGGAGAAAGAAAGAAGAACCGTGATGGAGACGTCTGGGGAGGCAGATAGTTTGGGAGGCGAAGACATGAAAACGTCTGTTAAACTCGCAAGGCCGGTAGAGGCTCGTTGCCAACGTTGATCTCTTCCTCATCTCGGACAATCAGGTCACACACACAGTCCCATCCAAAAGTCGGAAAGAAAAGGAAAATTTCGCTGGTATTGCCAAGAACGTCAGAGACATGCGTGTGAAGGATGAAAGGAGAAATCCCCAATTAGATGGATGGAAGAAAACGGAAGGTGGGTTAAAAGAGAAAACAAGGTTGTCCCTCGTGGGAAATCGTACGTTGGGGCGCGTTTTCCCTCATGAACCACGTTTGCGGAAATGTGGTGACTTGAGGAAAACCTATTCACCGTGTTTGGACGTTCCTCCGGATGTCCTTTTTTTGACAGGTGTCAGGCGGATTGAAATTGCCTGCCACGTAAAAGAGCGGTGTCGGAAAAAGACGTGGCTGTGGCTTTGTGGGCTTGGGATGTCATTGAAGTGTCATGTGGCTATTCACGGTGGAGGCGAGATATGGAAGCAGATATTGTTGATTTGGACGATACTTTTTGATTGTTCTCAAAGCAATCCTTGCCCGATGCTCCAAGAATGGTTTGAAAGGAAGTTCATTAAAATACATGGCTCGTCATATAGGCATGGTTGCCAAATTCATACGGGAGAATATCGGTAAGTGTTTGCCAATGGGGGTAGACACTTAACAAAGGAGGGATATCGAAGAGAAAGGATGGAGGAAAAGAAAACGGCTCCTGTAACCACTGCTCCCACTTCTCGCGTGATCATGATGGGCAAGCAAAACAAGGAAAAGAGATGCCGGATTCAAGTTGAAGGAAAAGGGAACGAGTAAGAAAGGAGAAAAGAAAAGAGTCATCAAGTCGTGAACAAGGAAGTAAGAAAAGAAATCGGAAGCCTCCTCCACCCAAACATGCGCCTTAGACTTTCCCGGCGAGGTAGAGGATGTTTTCCCTGACTGCATCCGTCAGGTCCCCTTGTCCGGTGTACACGTAGGCCACCGTGCGGTCCCAGACCTCGGGATAGGGCAGTGGCAGATCGATAACGTCGCCAGCTGTAATGTGGCCGGAGACAATGAGGGCAGCCAACACCGGCAGAGAGGATCGGGCGTATTGGAGATCTGCGGGTGGGTTGGGGTTAGCTTGGTGTGCTTGTTCCTTTCTTTCTGTAAGAAGGTTCGCGCCTCGGGAAGGAGACCGCCGGCTTTGGAGGCTACGGCCCAAAAAGGGCTGACCGCAAACGTCGCGGCATGGGAAAATGGTGGATGTGATAAAATTGGAGTGAGACATTTGGGAGGAGGGTGTACACTTACGGATTGGCATCGTGGATGCGCCACGCGACGGGGCTCGCGAGTCTGCGCGGCTGTAAGGGAGAGAAGAGCCATGCGCGGCACTGCTGGATCTCCGGCGGGCCATGGCCGGCCGGGGAGACCTTTGCGGCGGGGAGCCCGCGAGGGATGGGCGGCGGCGGGCGTCTGATGCCGGGGGAGTGCTCGGGAGCGGGTCTGCTACTGTGGAACGCAGCTGCTCGATGTCGAAGGTGCGCTGGATCAGGAACGGTTTGCGTTCCAGGGCACGGGGGCGCACGCGAGCGCGGATTGCGGTCTGGTTGGAGGGGATCGTGGGCGTCGTTGGCATGCGGGTCGGGGATGAGTCGCCAGCAGATCCTTCTGAGTTTGTGGATGCGTTGGAGTCGCGGCGGAGGGACACGGCGTTAACAAAGACATCTGAAGTCTTTGCATCGCCGAGGTAGACATGTCCCCAGGCGCGAAGTTGCTCAAGTTGATGGCGCTTGTCCGCATCCTTGGATCTTGGGAGATAACCTGCGTTCGGGACAGACTGGCGGCGCTTCGCCTCGTCTCCCAGGCCAGCGAGGAGCATGGAGCGGTTCTCAGCGGCGAGCGTCTGGCGGCGGTTGCCTGCGACTGGTGGTGATCGAGGGGAAGGCGGGGGAGGAGGTCGGCGGGGGCTCATTTGAGCGGCCGAGTACCGTCTTCCATCAACGGAGTGCTCGGCGAGGGGAGAAAGCGGAGATGGGCGATGGGCAGTCTTCCTTGGGCTGAGGTCGAGGCGCAGTGCTGTACGAGGTTTCTGGCCACCAAGGCGGTCGACCATGGCCCGTTCATGTTGTCTCATGGAGCCATCATTGGAGGGGAATACCGGCGTAGGCAAGCTCTTGGGAGAGCGGTCCGAGGAGCTGAAGTATGAGGCGGAGGCAGAACGGCCCGAAGAGGAGCGAGGAAAGCCACCCAGATTGTATTGAGAAGTCCATAGCGGATGGAGGCTAGGACGGTTATCAATGGGAGTAGCCATGATAGTCGTCGTGGTGATGATGAATGCTTGGTGTTGATGCTGAATGCTGAATACCGGCACTGAATAACCGCACAGGCTTCTTCTGTTTGATGCCAGGTAGGGCAGAGGGTTAAATCAATTTGGTGGTAACAATGAATGGACCCAAAGATCGGAATGTGCAACCGGTTGATAGGGCGATGGTGGAAGCGAGAGTCTATAGCCCGGTAAGGATTATCAAGGGAGACCGGCTTTCTTATGTCTGAGAGAGAGGGACGTCCGAGGGGGTAAATATCTAGACCGATCGTCGATCACCCTTTTGGTCTTGTATATCCGTCCGTCTTTCTTTCCCGCGCGCCAGACAGTACGAAGAGGGTAAAAAACGAGTTTCTTACGCCAACTGCCGGGGACGGGAAATGAAAGGATTGGTACGGCCTCTCTATCAAAGGACTTGGAGGGCCGCAGCCTTGATACGAAGCAAGAGAGACATACTGACAGAGACTGAAGAGCAGAGGGCGTGTAAAGAGAACGGCTCAAAGGCCAAAGCTCCCGGCCGCAAGTCGCTCTGTCACTGTCACACCTCTTTTTCTTGCCGGGATGGGGCTTTGGCAGGTCGGTGGGCGTCAGTGGAGTGGAAATCGCAGGATGCAGTCGTCAACTCTCAGGCGACAATTGGCGGTTGCGGACGACAACCTTGACCATGTTGCCGCACGCGAGAACAAAGGACAGCAGCTAGCGGCGTGTGGGTTGTGGTAGCAAACCCAAGGGTGTGTAAAAAAAAGACCCAACATGGACGGGCTTGGGAGGGGCTTGTCAACTTGGGATTTTCTGCAGATGGGACTGGGTATTGCAGGGTAGAGAACAAAGAAAGTGTGGCTTGTCTGGGCCCTCATTCGTCATGTTTCTGGCAGAGTGCTTCCTCGCCTATCGTGTTGGAAAGGGAATGGGCTTCACCTTCTCTTCAACCCTGAGGGAAAGAGAGATGAAGGCTTTCCCTTTTCATTCTTCTGGCTTGGGCTTTGGACTTTCGATGCAGGCGCACGGCGCGGTAGTTCCTTCTTTTTCCTTCTTTGCGTTGACCTCTTTCGCTGCGTCCGGGGTTCGGCAACAACTGATGGCAGGGAAGAGAGAAAGAGAGAGATTGATTTTGACAGGCGCCCATCACGGCCAAACGCAACCTTGTTGAAGCTGGCGGGGTGCACTTGCACCTGCCACTGGCGCTAGGAGTTGGCGTGGCTGTATCCGAATCCGTCAGGTCAGCTGTAGCTGCATCTCCATCTTCATTTCCATGCTCGCGATGCTGTCTTCAGTTGCCGCAGTGCGGCCGATGGTGTGCGAGAAGAGACAGATACACCGAGAGACAGAGAAAGCAGACGATGAGTGAGAGAGAGGAAGTGTGTGTGGAGGCGGAACGGGACAGAGACCAACAACGGCGCTGGCTCATCAAAGTCTCAAGTGTCTGAGTCACAGTGTGGTAATGTCTCGGCTGGGTTCGTCCAAGATGGCAAAAAAAGGGAAAACGGCCATCCTAATCGTCTTGTCAGGCAGGCAGCAATGGCGATGAACAAAAAGCTGTGATGAACCGAGCACCCGAGCAAACCGGCCCGGGGCTGGGCTGGATGGAGTTGGGAGGAGACGTGGAGCGGGATGAGACACCAAGTAGGAAATGCTCCCGTCGAGTGTAGGTGACGTATTTGCCTCGCGGGCAGTTTGGAGTGCTGCGTGGCCGTGATGCCGATCTCTTGCGAGAGGAGGTCAGAGGTCAGGACACACAAGACACCAACCCCGGGACGGTGGGAAAGCTTCCTTTGAGCGGCGGAGGAAACACGGAGGTGGGAAGAGCTTCAGCGTCAGGTAAGGCTTTCTGGACCACCCGTGCCTCCGAAGCCATTCCGGAGTGGATCCGCACGATGCCTCAATTTGGAGCTCCTGATTGGGCAGGGTGCACCGTACGGCACTTTGGAGGGGGGACCCTGGAATTGCGTCTGTCACCTGAAGGTCGGGAGCTTGGACCACCCTGAAGCATCCCACGCAATGAGGTGTCGGTCGTTGGTTGTTCTTTTCGGCCGCAATTTTGGAGACGTGCCAGTCGGGATTGACACATCGCCAACTCTGTCCAAAGGACCTCCCACGCCCTCCTTTACCCGCCCATTTGCGCGTCTGTCAAAGCAGACACATCTACAGAAATGGTATCGGGCTTGCAGACGTGTTTTTGAAAAAAAAAAAAACAGGCCCCTCCTTGGTCTTCCCTCCATCCACCGGATACACCCCGTCCCTATTTCTTTCGACCCCCATCCGTCGATCGCAAACATGTCTGCCGCAACGGTCGAAAGCTACAAGAAGCTCAAGGAGGACTTTGTCTCCAACCTCTCCGGCGGACCCCCCAGCGAAATCAACTACGTGACAGCCGTCGCACCCGTGCGTGTTTCCTCCAAATCCCTCCCCCCTCCCCCCCTTTCAATACGGCGCGCATGCACCAAAGGAACAAAGCAGAAAGCTAACCTGGCACAACTCCAGGTCGCAGTCCTCCTCTGGTCCGTCCTCCAGTCCCGACAATCCTTCTTCAAACCTTACACACCGCTCGCCGGCCTAGTCGATTACCTTCTCAACGTCACCGCCATCCTCCTCTCGACAACCCTCTACGCCTCCTCCCCCCTGCTACTCAACCTCCTCCTGCTCGCCCCGGCCGTTGTCGTCTACGCCTTCCCGCCAAACACCCGTCGCAAGAAGCCCGTCGTCCCTCCCAATGCAAAGTCCAAAGCTGCTGCCCAGGGCCCGCTCCCTGCTCTCTCCGTCAAGCCCTTTCTGACGCATTACCGCGGGAGCATGATGGTCGTCACCTGCATCGCCATCCTCGCCGTCGACTTCCGCCTCTTCCCCCGCCGCTTCGCCAAGGTCGAGACGTGGGGCACGTCCCTGATGGATATGGGCGTCGGCTCCTTCGTCTACAGCGCCGGCGTCATCGCCGCCCGTCCCGTCCTCAAGGAGCGCGCCGAGGGCCGCTCGACGCCGTTGGCCACGCGCCTGGCCGCCTCGATGCGCCACTCCTTGCCCCTCCTCTTCCTGGGCGTCATCCGTCTGCTCAGCGTCAAGGGGCTGGACTACGCCGAGCACGTCACCGAGTACGGCGTCCACTGGAACTTCTTCTTCACCCTCGGCCTGCTCCCGCCCTTCGTCGCCATCTTCCAGTCCGCGCTGAAGATCGTGCCGAGCTACGCCGCCCTGGCCGTCATTCTCGGTGGGCTGTACCAGGTCGTGCTCGAGAGCACGAGCTTGAAGGCGTTCATCCTCACAGCGCCGAGGACGGATCTGATCTCTAAGAACCGCGAGGGCATCTTCAGTTTCATCGGATACCTGGCCATCTTCCTCGCGGGACAGGACACGGGCATGTACATCCTGCCGAGGAGCGTCAACCCGAAGAGCGACTCCACGCCGGCGACGCAACGCAAGACCCTCATCATGATGATGGCCATCTGGTCGGCCGTGTGGACGGGTCTGTACTTCCTGAGCACCAGCTACAGCTACGGCGACGGACTCAGCGTGTCGCGCCGCATGGCCAACCTGCCGTATATCCTCTGGACGGCGGCGTTCAACTCGACCCAGATCCTTGCATACTGCATCGTCGACACCGTCTTCTTCCCCTCCTTCTACAACGCGACGGACGCAAAGTCTGAGAAGGAGGCTTACGAGACGGCCACGAGCAGGGTGTTCCGTGCCTACAACCGCAATGGTCTCTTTTTATTCCTGATCGCCAACCTCTTGACTGGTTTGGTGAACATGACAGTGCCCACATTAGACGTCAGCCCGCTCGCTACCATGGGCATTTTGATGGCGTATAGCGGATCCTTGACTGCTCTCGCATTGGCTCTTGACGCGTACAACATCAATATCAAGTTGTAGGGACTTGAGGTTAACTGTATATGTGTATATGAATGTGTAGATATGGCATGAGCAGATACCAATTGAAGCTTACCGCAAATGTTTGGCACTTGTGACATCCAGACGATGGGGACGTTACTACTTCCATGGCAACATCTTGTACAGACGTGCGAGCGCCATCAGAGAGGACAACGGGCAGAGACGACGGCACATGCTATCGCAATTTCGCAAGTAGTGAAGCACCAACCCAATATCCGGCCATCATCGAACATGGCCTGATGCCAACGCCCACGAACTTGGTACGTCCGCAACCCTCGGGAAGAGATGGCGCAAGCATCCCAGTTGACGGGACGAACGCTCCTTCGTCGTTCCAATAAACCCGCCCAGCAGCCCCGGCGAATCCGAGGTAACGGGTTACTGAAACGGAGCCGTCGGAAACCTACCTACAGCAAAGACAGACGACGACTGGTTCCGCCTCATCTCACGAAGCCCTGGACGTATGTGCTCTTTCCCGAGACAGTCCGACACGAGGGCCGTCTCGGTTTGCACTGGGAAATCGCGAACAGCCCTGGAAAATCGCAAACTTGCCCGGGCGATATCCCCCCCCCTTCGTCTGGTCCGAGCAGAAAGTCATGTCTTTCAACGTCCTGGCCCAGCCCAGCCCCCCTTGCATGAACGTCTTCTTTAGAAACGGCCGCTCGGCCCTCCTCCCTCGAACCAAACCACCCCGCTGGGTTTGGAATCATTCTAGAAGAAAATTCAAAGGCGAGTGGGTGAAGTGTGAAGAGAGTGAGCTTAGCCATGTTCTCGGTTCACCAGTTAGTCACGTCTTATTTTTCCCCTCCTTCCCGTCTGTCGGAGACCCCGTTGGCCGTTTGGCATCTCGCATGTTAGCGCTGTATGGCAGAAATGCAATGTGATTGCGTGTTCTCCGTGAGTTGGCAATGGACGGCGGACGCTATTCCCCCGAAGGACGATACTCGACTGGACGCTGGCGAGAAGGCCGGGATCGTCCCTGGGAATGGCTCTGAGTTGGACGGTCTCCAGTTTTTGAAGTTGGCGATGGGCGGGGTCAGGACGCGTCGCGTTTTTCCCGCGATGTTATGGGACTCCGTCTAAGTGGGATCGTCGATGAGGGATTCTGAGATGGAGCAGCATGAACATGGCACATTTTTTTGGTGCCTTGCGAGGCGTGTGGAGTTGTACATCACCACCCCGAACCCTGATGCTCTCTGATAGTGAAATGTTACCGCCTGAACGGTTGACACCCAACGTGAAAGCGCCGTCTGGACGAAGCTGATAGGCGGCGCATGATGTCACTAGCCACACGTACTTAGGGCCAAGTGCCGAGTATGGCTTGGTTTACCCGGAGACTTTCTCGATGGGGCAGTTGGCTTGTCTCCATCAATGGCCCAACTGGGCAGCCAAATTGAAGGTAAGCGTTAGCCCGATGAATGGTGACAGCCGGAATGGCCTGGCCGAGGCATTGAACGAGCTCAAGACGCCATGTCAAATAAACCCCAGCCGCATGTTTCTCGAGACCTGGCTCAGAATCTTAAGAGCCCCATACACAGCCATGGATGAAGACCATGGCTGAAAGTCTCCAGAGCAGATCAAAGAGAGGGTCTCGTTGCTCTATTCGTACTGGAGACGAATCAAACTTGATTCCGTGGACAGCTTGATTTGAAGCCTTGCGCCGGAGCCGGCAGACCCCTGGTGTGAGCCGTGCGCCTCATCTCCGACATCAATGCTTGCTTGCCATACTTCGTGGCCCAACTGCCAAATGACGGCGGAAGAAGATGAGCCCTAAATCATATGGATGTCCCCTTTGCGCCTGGTCGACGTTTTGTTGGCTCATGCACGCCGAGACGCGTCGTAGAACCTTTTTCTTTCCACACGTCAGCTGGTCCCGGTGGAAGAAGCAATGGCGCCATTCGTCTGCCATGTGTCTCTGTATTGTGCAAAATTCGGCATAAACACCGAGAGAACTCAAAGTTGTCCTCGGAAGATATCATGTCTTACATAAGACGAGAGCCAGGCCAAGACACAGTTTAGCCGCTTTTGATTGCTGTGTTTCCTTCCAGGATCTGCGGATTCGAGACAAGCGAATATTAAGGTGCGACGGAGCCCGATGGGACCTGCACAACGGGAGCTCGTCCGCGAGGGTGGGCGCATAGGTACGTATCGGGTACGATGCATCGAATTGCGCGTTGCAAGGGAGAGACAGCCACAGAGAAGGCTGGAAAGATGTCAAGATGCCGAGATCTGGGCATGCGAGGTGCTGATGGTATGTGGGAGTAGCGAGGTGTACATTTGATACGTGCGTACCTTGCTATGCCATGCCTTTTGCTGACGGGAGACGGCTGAGTGGGCCATCCGGAGTAATAAGACGATAGAGGCACCTTCATTATGGTGAAGGATATTGCATCAAGGTTAGACAACTCTGCGTGTAATCGAACAACGCCTCGTCAATCCGACCCGTGTTATGGCGCGCATGAGGTAACAAATCGCAGACAAGACGGGCGCAGCCACGGTGGCATCGAGATGGATGTGTGGAGGCCAGAGACGCTTCAAGAAATGCGACATGCGCAAACATGTGCGGTCCGTCGTTTGAAGGCGAGAGGAAGGTCGGCCGTCCGGTCTCGCAAACATTGATGGTCAGCCAGTCAGACTTTTGTACGTTAATTTGAAGAAATGCGTCCTGCCATGTTGATGCAAGGAAGCTCGCTGCTGCCTCAATGTCGTCCACTGGCAGTCGTCTGCAACTATGCGATTGCAAACAGGACAATCCTGCCTGGGCAGAGCTATGTGGTCACGTAGTGAGGTGGTGGGCAGGGGCCACTGGAGGTGTGCGTCGCAGGATGGCGAGCTGTTTTCCCATGTGCTTGACTTGAATGACTTGACGGGCCACACCGCACCACTGGCAGTCAACGAGCGACTGAGAAGAGACGGGACGGCATCGGACGAAATGCAAAAGTTGCGGGCGGCGAGGAGCGCTGACTGACTCTGACACCGCTGTAGCACTGTTGCGCTGGTTGCTTGTATGGATTATGATGACAACCGAGAATGACAAGACCCCCTGAACCATGTCCTGATCCCTGTCCTAGCAGCTTGGATGCCCAGCCCAGCAACAGGGATGGCAAGAATTTCGTTTGACAGAGGTCGGCAGGAGTCTTGGTTACAAAGGTATCCGTCAGTTTAATCGCGATACGACTCTGCAGCGTCTGCATCTGCTGTGCATGAGAAGAGAGAGATATTCACAATGCAAGTCGACAGTCGAAGGTGGGATTGAGAGGCCAGATTGGCCACCCACGGCGGTCACGAATCGTGGAAAGCCGCATTTCGTGGTCCTTGAAGAGGCAGGCGCGTTCGGGAATATGCATGACCTCTCATCTCAGGTACAGGGTATGCTGCACTGCACGGCGCAAGTGGTCTTGGGATGGTGCGAGCACCGGGCAGATAGACCACATACTGCCAAGATGGCTCACAGGATGCGTTCTTCGTTGCCTCTTCTTCCAGAGGCGCCACGGAGCCTCATGTCGGGATGAACAAGATTTGAAGATGGGGACAGAGCAACGGGGCGGACGGACGCGCGGGCAGATGGGCTGCATGATCCGCGGTTACCCTTGCTGGAAGGGCCATCCCATCTCAAATATGTGGCATGGATTGAGGCGGGCATGAAGTTGGATCCCGCCGTCGCCTGTTAGTTGGGAGCTCTCGGGCTTCTCGAACGATGTGGAGGCGCCGTCGAGGCTTGATGCCAGTTTGCGTTGACCGACTTTGAAATATCCAAGATGAGAATTTGATGCCTGGCCCGCGGGGTTGCTGGAGATTGAGGCCCTCGGAGAAGCGGTGCCCGGATAATTGGCAGGTTTGAAGAGGTGGTAGTGACGTCTTGAGGCCGGATCCCGACGAGATGGAGAAGCTAGAAAATCTAGAGTGACGGACTCAGATTGGGTTGTGTCGTGGAGATGGTGGAACGTGTGTGGTGTCTGTGAGATGTGGGATCATGGGATGAGGTGACAGAAATTTCAGAGAAAAAGAAAATCCAAGATATATCGGGAAGGCTTGACTTGGAGAGGGGCATCCTCGCGCTCTTCCCCCATTGTGTTGTTTCCCTTTCCACATCCGCAAGCAAGAGCCATCACCGACCGTCTGGTCCTTCCATCCGTGAAATCTCCATGTCGGGCTGAGTTCCGGCCAATGTCGAATTCCAGCTGCTCCCTTCACATAGACCCAATCTCAAGTCGAGGCCGCGGCCAAGACTTGCAATATCGGCGTCAAATATCAGTGCTAGCGTCCGCATCAACACCACCACCAGCCACATCCACGTTTCGGCTGTCGTGCAACCCACTTTTGGTCTCACATGGTGGTGGTGGTGGCTGCTCGTACCTTACGGCTAAATGGGTACGACTCAGAAGTAGGTAGGATAGCTTCGACTTACATCAAGAAGCCTGCGAAGTACACGCTGCGAGAGGTGCGTGGGCTGAGACCTCACCTAAGACAGCCCGCGTCGAAAAAGACTCGACAATTCCTCCCCCGAGTGGGAAGACGTGCCTATTGTCCGAATCATTGTTCGAATAGTTCATACTGCGCGCCGACTGCCATTTCACCATTGCCTGTGATCCGCGCTCTTCTCCAGCAGCTAGGCAGCCAGGTACGGAAGGGCAGATCCATCCATTCCATCCTTTCCGGCTGCCGCTGCCGCTGCATTGACGGCCATAATTAATACTCTCGGACCAGCAATCCAGTCCAGTCCAATCCAACCCAAGCCCATGGGAGAAAAGCAACGACGAATTGCCCACCCATCTTCCATTCATCCAGCCTGCGCGTGGTGGTGCTTGGACGGCCACGGGTGCCATAATTTAACAAGACGACATCTCCTCATTTTCGATTGTCAGCCTGAGCGGCCCCAAACACCACCGCCAAACAACCTCAGTTGAGGCGGATGATACCGACGATACGGGCAGAAAAAGCTTCGGTGCAGATAGTCAATCAACCTTCAGCTCAGGTCGATCCTA